ACAATATTTTTTTACTTTCAGCTATAAAAAATATATAGTAAACTCAAAGTTAGTTATAAATTTAGGCCAAAATGTATTCTGCTCCATGTTTTTGGTAAAAAAAATCCCAATAAGTGTATATTGATTGCTTTGTGTGGAAGTTATAGCGTCTACAAACTATGGTATAGATACTGCAATTTACACCATTGTTCTGCTATACAGCGCTGCGCTAGTTTAATGGACAATTGCGCGGTCATGCAATATGGTACATAAATGAAATTTACCTCCTTTTTTTTCCCACAAATTGAGCTTTCTTTCGGTGGTATTTGATCGCCTGTGTGTTTTTTATTTTTTGCGCTATAAAAAAAAAAGGCTGACAATTTTGAGGAAAAAAAACAATATTTTGGACTTTTTGCTATAAAACATGTCCAGTAAAAAAAAATTTAAAAATCAAATTTCGTCATAAATTTCTGCCAAAATGCATTCTGCGACATGTCTTTGCTAAAAAAAAAAACCCAATACGTGTAAATTAATTGGTTTACGTGAAAGTTATAGCGTTTACAAATGGCGGGAAAGATACTGGGATTTTTTATTTTTTTTATACTAATAATGGCGGTGATCAGCGACTTATGGCGGGACTGCGGCGGACATTCTGACACTGGGGGGAACTGACTTGGGATCACTGACATCCCCAGTGACTCCAATACAGTGATCAGTGCAAAAAAAAAAAACACTGACATTGTACTAATGGCACTGGGGAGGAAGGGGTTAACTTTTTTATTCACTGAAAGGGTTAACTGTGTGAGGGGAGTGTTTTTACTAGGGGGCAGGGGGGTGTACTGCACGGGGACACGCTGATCCGGAGAGATAAACTCTTCTCTCCCGATCAGCATGTCAGGAGCTGACAGGGAACTGGCAGAAAGCAGAGCTACTGCGGCCGTGCTCTCTGTCAGTGATTGCCGCTAATCGGTGGGACACAGCCGGTAATGACCGGCCGTGACCCGGCGACTGTCACGATCGGCGGCGCAGGTAGGGCGGGTGGCGTGCCTCGCGTGCGCCCCCTACTTGTTTTGCAAAAGCACGTTTTAAAACGTAGTTTTGCGCTGCCGTGCCGCCCTGCCACTGTATTTCTA